CAGGTGCTGAAGCAGAATCCATTCTGGTGGACTCACCAGAGACATGATGGGAAACTGTGGAACCTGAACAACTACCGCACAGACATGATCCAAGCTCTGGGTGGTGTGGAGGGCATCCTGGAACACACGCTCTTCAAAGGCACCTACTTCCCCACCTGGGAGGGTCTCTTCTGGTGAGGCTGCGTTAAAGAGAATCTACGTGAAATGGTCGTTTTTTTGTTTTCTGTTATTTTGTACCGTTTTTGATTTTTTATTATTATTTCTCTGGCGATTAGGGAAAAGGCCAGTGGCTTTGAAGAGTCCATGAAATGGAAGAAGCTGACCAACGCTCAGAGGTCTGGTCTCAACCAGATCCCCAACCGTCGCTTCACTCTCTGGTGGTCGCCCACCATCAACCGGGCCAACGTTAGTATAAACATCAGCAGTTGGAACAATCATTTAAGAACCATTTACAGAATATTTTCCCTTCCTCTGCAGGTGTATGTGGGTTTCCAGGTACAGCTTGACTTGACGGGAATCTTCATGCACGGCAAGATTCCCACTCTGAAGATCTCCCTCATTCAGATCTTCAGGGCTCACCTGTGGCAGAAGATCCATGAGAGCATCGTCATGGATCTCTGTCAGGTAGGCTCTGATCCATAAACTCGCACGGAGAGAGTCGTGTGTTCCGATAGATTGGGTAAATGTTATGTTTCTGGTTGGCAGGTGTTTGACCAGGAGCTGGATGCTTTGGAGATTGAGACGGTGCAGAAGGAGACCATCCATCCCAGAAAGTCCTACAAGATGAACTCGTCCTGTGCAGACATCCTCCTCTTTGCGTCATACAAGTGGAACGTCTCCCGACCGTCTCTGCTCGCCGACTCAAAGTAGGACATTTAAAATGTTTGTCTCTGAGACTGTTGTTACAGAAAAGATGTTAAGGTTAGAAATGACACTAATACAGTTTGTTCACACGTTAGTTTACATGTGAAGATGGTTTTGTCTAATTTTGTGTGAAATAAAAGCATACCTCCTCTCTCAGGGATGTGATGGACAGCACCACCACACAGAAATACTGGATTGATATCCAGCTCCGATGGGGAGACTACGACTCTCATGACATTGAGCGCTACGCCAGAGCCAAATTCCTGGACTACACCACGGACAACATGAGTATCTACCCCTCTCCCACTGGAGTGCTCATCGCTATCGACCTGGCTTACAACCTTCACAGGTGTGGCTTGTTTTCATCAGTTAAGTTTGTATTATTAGGGTCATTATGAAGTGACTATTGCATTTATTTCCACCATAACTTCACATGATGTAGTTAAATGACAGATGAACTGAAGTTCAAATCTTAAAAGGCTGCCGGAAGTGTTTCCTGGATTTTTACATCTGCTTGTAAATGCTCCTCAGTCGCCCTTGAAGTCTCCACACAAGCTTCCTAAATTCCTGTCCATGCTCCATCAGCCAGTTGATTTATTTGGAGTTCTGAACTGTATGTTTTTGGTTTTATTCGTTTTTCTGTAGCGCGTATGGTAACTGGTTTCCAGGAAGCAAGCCTCTGATCCAGCAGGCCATGGCCAAGATCATGAAGGCCAACCCTGCTCTGTATGTGCTCCGAGAGCGCATCCGCAAAGGTCTGCAGCTCTACTCCTCAGAGCCCACGGAGCCTTACCTGTCCTCGCAGAACTACGGCGAGCTCTTCTCCAACCAGATCATCTGGTTTGTGGATGACACCAATGTCTACAGAGTCACCATTCACAAGGTGAGCGTTGGTTTTTCAGGTGGGCGTCAAAATGGTGCTTCTGCTCAGAAACGCGCAGAAGGAAAAAATCGCTATCATCATATCAAATTTATGCTTCGTGTGCTCAGACCTTTGAGGGAAACTTGACCACAAAACCCATCAATGGAGCCATTTTCATCTTCAACCCCAGAACTGGACAACTCTTCCTCAAGATCATTCACACGTCTGTGTGGGCTGGACAGAAACGTCTGGGACAGGTATGAAAATGTCCTGCTCTGCTCTTTAAAATTTGCTTCTGTTTATATTTGTCTGGTAAAATTATTCTTTACAAGAAACTTAGATTTTAGTGGTATTCTGTTTTAGTTGAACATGTTTAACCTGTTATTTATGTAGCTGGCCAAATGGAAAACGGCTGAAGAAGTTGCTGCCCTGATTCGCTCCCTCCCTGTGGAGGAGCAGCCCAAGCAGATCATCGTAACCAGGAAGGGCATGCTGGACCCTCTGGAGGTGAGAGGATGTGATGGTTACTGCTGCTTCAACATTTCTAAACTTTACAGGATCATCTTAAAAATCGAATCTACTCTAAAATGCTTCTTAAAGTTATTTGATTTCTGTTTAGGTCCACTTGCTTGACTTCCCCAACATCGTGATCAAAGGCTCAGAGCTGCAGCTGCCTTTCCAGGCCTGTCTGAAGGTGGAGAAGTTTGGAGACCTGATCTTGAAGGCGACAGAACCACAGATGGTCCTGTTTAATCTCTATGATGATTGGCTGAAGACCATCTCGTCCTACACCGTGAGATTCTCTTTCTAATGGAGCACAGAGCAGATTTAAATTGGGACTGAAGCTGATCAAACACTTTTTTGAGTTGTAGTTACTTTTGGTAACATCCACTCACTTCCCCTGTAAATAGTTGTTGTCTCTGCTTGCAGGCCTTCTCCCGTCTCATCCTGATCCTCAGAGCCCTCCACGTCAATAATGACCGCGCCAAGGTCATTCTGAAGCCTGATAAGACCACCATCACTGAGCCCCATCACATCTGGCCCACGCTGACTGATGAAGAGTGGATCAAGGTGGAAGTGCAACTCAAAGATCTCATTCTGGCCGATTATGGCAAAAAGAACAAGTAAGAGCTATTTTGAGTGTCTTGTGTGTTTAGAGCCAGCCTTGCGTTTTGTAGTAAAAGCTTCTTTTATCCGTGTCTAGCGTGAACGTGGCCTCTCTGACCCAGTCGGAGATCCGTGACATCATCCTGGGTATGGAGATCTCTGCGCCGTCGCAGCAGCGTCAGCAAATCGCAGAGATAGAAAAACAGACCAAAGAGCAGTCACAGCTCACCGCCACGCAGACCCGCACCGTCAACAAGCACGGAGACGAGATCATCACCTCCACCACCTCCAACTACGAGACTCAGACCTTCTCCTCCAAGACTGAGTGGAGAGTCAGGTACGTTAACTCTGTTTTTACTTCAACTTTAAATGATGGAGTGTTTTAATTCTGCTCCTCTTGACCTAACAAAGGGCCATATCTGCTGCCAACCTCCATCTCCGAACCAACCACATCTATGTGTCATCTGATGACATCAAGGAGACCGGTTACACCTACATTCTGCCCAAAAACGTTCTCAAGAAGTTCATCTGCATCTCAGATCTTCGGGCACAAGTATGCATCCATTAAGTTGCATTTTTTACCGTGCTGCTCATGTCTTGCCGCGGTTGTTGCCAACGATGTGCTGTTTCCAGATTGCAGGTTACCTGTATGGCACCAGCCCCCCGGATAACCCCCAGGTGAAGGAGATCCGTTGTATCGTCATGGTACCTCAGTGGGGGACTCATCAGACCGTTCACCTGCCCAACCAGCTACCTGGTCATGAATATCTCAAAGTAAGACTCAGATAAACAATTTTCAACAGATTTCTAACGCTTTTATAAATTTTTTTTTTTTGTTGGAGTTTTGAAAATGTTTTTCTGTTCAGGAAATGGAGCCCCTTGGCTGGATCCACACGCAGCCTAACGAGTCCCCACAGCTGTCTCCTCAGGACGTCACCACCCACGCTAAGATCATGGCTGATAACCCCTCATGGGATGGAGAAAAGACCATCATAATCACTTGCAGGTAGGTTTGATTTTAAGGTGTCTGTTCTCATTTAAAGCAGGATTACTGTGTAATCTGGAGCCTTTTTGAACCTAAACACTTACTAGACTCTTCCTGGAACATAATTATTGCTGAAACTTTAGTTTAAAGCATTTTTTCTGGTGTTTTCAGCTTCACGCCTGGCTCATGCACACTCACGGCCTACAAGCTGACCCCCAGTGGATATGAGTGGGGTCGCCAGAACACCGACAAGGGCAACAACCCTAAAGGTTACCTACCATCTCATTATGAGAGGGTGCAGATGCTGCTCTCTGACCGCTTCTTGGGCTTCTTCATGGTTCCTGGACAAGTCTCATGGAACTACAACTTCATGGGTCAGTAGCGTCAGCCTTTTGTATTGGAAAATGAAGAGTTGGCTTGTTTAGTAATCAGGTGATTTAAAATGATGATTTTGCCACCAGGTGTGCGCCACGATCCCAACATGAAGTACGACCTGCAGTTGGCCAACCCCAAAGAGTTCTACCATGAAGTCCATCGGCCCTCACACTTCCTAAACTTTGCCTCGCTGCAGGAGGGTGAAATTTACAACGCCGACCGAGAAGACATGTACGCCTAAGAGCCAGCTTCCTTCTGTAGATAGCTCTGAGAGTCACTGAGAACCACTTCAGAGATGTTCTGTAATATTTCTTTGATGTTTGAGGGTTTTATGTGAAGGCTTTTGGAGCTTTTAAGACTTTTTTTGTTCCTTTTCCCGTCTTTACAGTAAGACTCCTAGTACAAAGTGAGTTTTATTGTGGATCCTTGTAATTCCTTTCATATTTACATTGGCGTGTAGTTTTCAGTAAGCAATACTTTGATGTAATGTTTGACATTATTTCAGAAAGTTAAAGATCTACTTCCTTATTTAGCAGTGAGAAATGAAATTGAAAGTTGCTTTTTCATACCTATATTATTCAGTCATGTGTTGAGCTGTACATCCTGTGATGTTGTATCCTGGACTTAAATAAAAATCACCATTTTTATATCCAGTCTTCTGATTTGTTGTGTGCTTTTATTCCTGAAATGTAAATGTGGTTAAAGCAAAAGAGAAGGGCAGCGTTTTGTTGCATTGTAGGTGTGAGTAGGGGATATTACTTCCTCTTTCAGAGAGTGCAAAAGTCGGTCACCATAATTCAGTCAGGGATAATTCAGTCAGGGTTTAGAGATTGTTACAGCGTTGAAGGTTTTAGCTGCAGATCTTTCAAGTTGTTGCACGTTTGTGCTCTGGTTGGCCAGAAGAGGAGGAGGATCCTTTAGCTGCTGATGTGAACGGTAAGTCAGAGCAGGTTGATTAGTGTTGGTGCGTGGAAATGTGCATTTACTCAAGCTAGTTCAAAAGTTATTTTTTAGTTTCATCCGTTTCATCGTAATTGTGCGACATGGAGACGGACACGGAGAGTTGCAGCTCCCACGGCTGCTTTGGCCGGACGTTTTCCGCCCTGACCGTCGATGATGTTTACGAGATAGCCAAACTGGTCGGTGCCGAGGTGGAGAAGCTCATCGACGGCTATGGCAAACAGAGCGTGGAGGGTCTGGTGCCGAAAATCGTGAAAGTGCTCGAGCTGCTGGAGAGCTTCGCTTCCAGGAACCATGCTCACAATCTGAGGGAAGAGGAGCTGCTGAGGACCTTCGAGACCTTCCAGCTACAACAGCAGAAGAAACGCGGTGGGAAGGAATACGAGGAGGGCACTGATAACGAGATACGGGTGAGATACATTACCACCATTTTGTAAACTACAGTATTACCCTTTCTTATAAACCACGGTTTTATTATTACGTTATTACGAAGTAGCGTTAGCATACCACGCAGCGGGATCTTCTGGCGACACTTTTAGCTAACACTTTTAGTTAATCTCACGGGAAAAAATACAAACTTGTTATACTTGCACAATAAATTCAATGATATTTTATTGTGAAACAACTATAAAACGGGTAATTAATGAAAGAATGCTATAATGTGTATTTTAATTTGACATTAAGATATAAACAATTAGTTTGCCAACTTGCTAGCAGCTATTTGTCGCCAAGGTAACCAGCAAAACGGCTTATTCGGCTAATTAAAGAGTTATTCAAAGTATAAACTTTATTTTTAAAACTTATTATATTCATATACATAAAAATGCATTTAAAAATTTAAAGCAAGACTTTAACATTGTTCTAATTTTTAAAGTAAAACGCTAACTTTACTGCTGTGGGGAAAAGATGCTAATTAATTAGCATTAATGATTTGTACAGTTAGCATTAAAGATACAACTGGATTTTCAATACATGCAAATCTGTGATTGTGAAAGGGATACATTTATTTATGGTTTTATAGTTTTGCTAATAAATTTAGTTTAGACTATTTTTCTCTATTGTATCAGACATCTTTAGTGCCCATTTTTCATGTCAAATTAAGCATCCACACTTAAATGGTCTGTGTAATACACAGCGGATGTTAAATAGCCTATCATTACTGGGGGTTCAGTTATGGTGTCTGAACAACAGTTTAACAAAAACATCTGTAACATTTTAAGAAAGTCACACACCCTCTTTGATGTAAAATGTTGTGATGACACTCTGGTGCCCAGGTGTTACATCATCTATGGCTCTCAGATCAGGGTTCATCCATCTTCACATCCTTTCTTGAGCAGGAGTTGGAGCAGAAGGAGTTGCAATGGAGGAGGAGATGTGAAGAGTTGCAGCTCCAGGTGCAGCAGCTACAGGGGGACAGAGAGGAGCTACACAACAGGCTAAAGGGCAGCTGTGTACTTGAAGGTATAAAACACCAAAGTCATTCATTAAGTTTTAACATCTGGATTATGAAAATTTCCAAATACCTCTACCCCTAAAGCAATCAACCCCTTGACCTTTGCTGAACACTGCTGAGAGCATCTGTTATTGATTAATTCAATTCAATTCAAAAATACTTTATTAATTGATTTCTGTAGTAGCTCATAATAATAATAATAATCAAGTCATCAAAGAGTTATTGTATATTACAATGGCTGTTGGCAGGAAGGATCTCCAGTAGATCTCCAGTTGCTCCCGCTCTGCATCCACGCTTCTTGCGTTTTAGCTCATTTGGGATTTGTGGCTTCAGTTGAGGTATTATTTCAGCCTTTCCCATGTTAATCAGCTGCTCCCGATTGTAAACCAGCTTGTTGCCATGGTTACGCATCATAACAAATGCTCAAAAAGCGAAAATAGCTAAAAAAATAGCAGTAAAAATCCTCCAAGCTTCACAGCACCAGAAACAGAAAAGTAAAATGTCCAAAAAAAAAACAGTTTTTCTTGAGAAACTAGAAGAAAAAATGTCCAAGAAAAGGCAAAACTTACATATAGTCAACAGAGCTACTCCAACATGCAGCCGCCCAGAGCAGCACAGCATTAGCGGCAGCATTAATCTCTATCCAGAAACAGAAAAAGTCATCACAAAGTATCAGGGAGTACTTGGATTTCCTGTTGTTGGATCCCTAAGCCCAGCTATTAGGAAGGGTTTGAATGTTGATGTCTTAGACAGAGTTGGCATTCTAAACCAGTAATAACTGGATCTTGTTCTTATGGTGTAAGGGATTTTTAAAATTACATCAATATAATAAAAAATAGAATATATGCTCATTCTCCATGATCTTCAGTAACGTTTTGCTGCATCATATATTTGTTACAAGGTGAGTTCCATCTGAAGTTTAAATTTTTAAAATGTAAAACATAACCAAAACGATATTTTCATGCACCTGAAACAAGCAAATCCACCTTCAGGTCATTTGCTTTTCTAGTTTTTCTGCTTTTGTACATCGAAGCAGACAGATGCTGTAGTTGCTGTTGTGTGGATGTTTGTCGGCCGTTTATAGCACGGATTCAAAGCAGCAGCTTAATAGTGAGTTTATCTGCTGAAGCAGTCTGACTGGTTGGTGGTGCTGTTTGCGGTGCAGGCAATTTACCAGGTTCTGACACGATCTCACAGATCAGAGCATACTCTTCAGTGGAAAAATTGAGACCTAATTTCAGAGTTTACAGAACAGGTTTATATGAAACATCCCAGTGTTTTTATACAATTAAATATTCAATTCAATTCAGTTCAAAAATACTTTATTAATCCCAGAGGGAAATTGATTGCTGTAGTAGCTCAGAATAATAATAATAACCAAGTCATCAAAGAGTTACTGTATATTACAATGGCTGTTGGCAGGAAGGATCTCCAGTAGCGGTCGTTGTTGCAGCGGAACTGAAGAAGCCTCTGACTGAAGACACTCTTCCGTTGTCGGACAGTCTTGTGAAGAGAATGCTCAGGGTTGTCCATAATTTTCTTGATTCTCTGGAGAATCCGTCTTTGCATTATCTCCTCCAGCGGATATGAAACTGCCAAAACTCTGGCTGAGTCCTTGAAAGGGCTTGGAGTTCCTCCATCTTGTTGGCCAGTGATCTCACATTGCCCATTATGATCGATGGAAGAGATGGTTTGAAATTCCTCTTTCTCTGTCTCCGTTTTGCTCCCGCTCTGCACCCACGCTTCTTGCGTTTTAGCTCATTTGGGATTTGTGGCTTCAGTTGAGGTATTATTTCAGCCTTTCCAATGTTAATCAGCTGCTCCCGATTGTAAACCAGCTTGTTGCCATGGTTACACATAATAACAAATGTTCAAAAAGTGAAAAAAGCTAAAAAAATAGCAGTAAAAATCCTCCAAGCTTCACAGCACCAGAAACAGAAAAGTAGTGTCCAAAAAAATACAGTTTTTCTTGAGAAACTAGAAGAAAAAATGTCCAAGAAAAGGCAAAACTTACATATAGTCAACAGAGCTACTCCAACATGCAGCCACCCAGAGCAGCGCAGTTCCGGAAAAAATATCAACATATTATAAATATAATCCTGTTTTAGATTAGACTTCATAATCATTAAAGAGCAAGTCACAACCAAATCAACATTTTTTTCCTCATAAACTATATAAATGAGAGTCTAATCATGCTGTAGACATGTGTAGTCAATAATTTGGCATTTAAGTGCATCTTACTTCAAATTTAAAAATTATGCCTAAAACTGTCGGTGATGTGCCTTCTTCAGATAAAAACTCTGCACTACATTTGAATTTTAATCTGCCATTGCTATTAACTAAGAAGTACCCTGTGATGCCAGCTGGTACCATATGATGTCACAATGCCATTGTGTGCCTGTGTGTGTGCATTTGTTAGCAACTTCGCCTTCTCTGACTGCCTAGCAACAGCATTTGTTGCATTTTTCAAACATGAAGTTGAGTAAGACTCTGGTAGGAGGTGACTTGTTCTTTAAATACTGAAGGGAAACACCAAATAAGATGTTTGATGTTGCTGACCGAAAGACGTACACAATGTTAACCTGTTAAAGCCCCCATGTTCTTTTGAATAGAACAAAGTGAAATAGTGAAAGTGTTTTAACTGTCAGCCATCTTTGCTTCATGCTGCTGAGCTCAAACGAACAGCCTGTTTCACTTTAAGAGACTAAACACGTTTATTTCCAAACTTCTGCAAATGAAAAGTGAAAGAGTACCAAATGTGGGCTTGTGTAAATCTAACTGTAATGTGAACCACTGCTGATTCTTGCTTTTTTGTTTGTTTGTTTTTGCTGAAAAAAAAAATCCTTCCCCATTATATCTGATGAACATGAGGCTTGTGAAAGTGGAAATGTTTGTTTAATTCAGTGAAAGTGGCTTCAATACTTCTGGGTTTTGTTGGTTATTTCAGTTCTAGAGACTTTAGTGTTTGGTTTTCAGAACCAAGTGTAAAAGGTTAATTCATTCAAAAACTAAAGGAAGTGATTCATAATGAAAGCTTTCAGGGTCTTTCCTTGGATTGAAAACATCCATTCTTTACTTTTCACTCCAAAAAGTTCAGCATCAGTGAATGGAAAGTGGCTTGATGTATTTTTGCACAAAAATAGTAAAATAGTTTTACTTTAGATAACACGATATCTCTAGGTCCTTCCAAATATTTTTACTGCTGTTTCTATGGATTTTCTAATTTCATTAGTACCTTGGCTTGAGTTTAAAGGTGTGGTTTACTGAAAAAAACATTTTTAATGATTATTTCTGATTATAATTGATCACTCTGAGTTTTTCCATGCATGCTGAACATGAAAATAGTCTCCTACACCAATCTCCCATTAGCTTCTGGTAGAAAATAGATGGTGAAAATCTTGATGGATCTACATCACACGGGGAAGGCTGTTGTTGGTTTAGCATCCAGGAGACAGCAGAGAATGTTTCCTCTAGTAGAAGCTAACCGTTAGCATTAACAACTCCACCACATGGCAGAACTCCTCCAGGCTTGTGTTATTTGTGGAGATAAAATATCAGTGTTGCAGAGGTAACAGAGTCATTAGTAGTCATTTTGCTGTTAGCCAATCAGAGGCAAGGTGTCCAAATGTTAGGAAATGAGACTCCAGATGAGGACTAGACAATAATTCAATAATGATATATATAGAAGTACGGCATAATAGGAAAAAAAATGGGTATATTAAAACTTCAATAAAATGTTTCCTTTCTTTTTTCTATTATCGCCTATCGGGTAGCTCCGTACTAGAGTCTACCTATGCCAACCAATCAGAAGCACAGACCCAGGCACGCTCCGTCACCAAGCTCTCCCCTCTCAAACTAAAACAGACAGCAATATGCTGCAGCAAGTATCGGTGGAGGAAACTGTCCCATCAAAAGGTTACATTTGTTTACCAGCAAAGCAGTATTTTGGTTTTTACAAGTCTGACAAAAAGGACACAATGGTTAATTCAAATGTTTGCAGAGAATTGATTAAAAATCAATTTTTTAGCACAATTCAATTCAATTAAAATACTTTATTAATCCCAGAGGGAAAATGATTGCTGTAGTAGCTCAGAATAATAATAATAATCAAGTCATCAAAGAGTTATTGTATATTACAATGGCTGTTGGCACGAAGGATCTCCAGTAGCGGTCAGTGTTGCAGCGAAACTGAAGAAGCCTCTGACTGAAGACACTCTTCCGTTGTGTTGGGGTTATTAGGAGCGAACAATTAGTAAGCTTCAACTTACTTTTGGATTCTTCAATAAATTCTGTAAATATGTAAATATTTACTGATTTATTAATTAATTAAGATATTCTTAGATATACGGGGCACCATTCCCCTTCAACCGGGGAAAAATTGAATCCAAAACTCTTATCAGTCTTTCTTGAAGTTCGTAGAATCCTTGGAGCAGAGACTTCTCTTCGACACAACAAAGCTACTGGAGACGAAAAACTGAATTTTATAACATTTAATTGAACAATTTATCAAATGAATAAATTGTGGCATAAATGAATAATAACCATGTGATATAATTGAAGATGGATGTGTTTGCGTGTGATGGAGGATGTATGAATGGGGTCCTTTGTTCTCACAAAGGAGTAGTGTGTGTGTGCGTGTGTATGGATTCAAAATGGAGTCTTGAATACAAGATGGCTGACCCCTTTGTCTGGCTAAAGTGTGGGTGGCAACTTGCACTTTAACTTCCAAAGCACTTAGAATCAGTAGTAACTTAACCTTAAATCACTCAAAACATTTCAAAGGATCATGAAACAACACAAAAGATTAATCACAAGTTAATATCTTTTAGTTTATCAGCCTGGCCATGGCCGAAACCTTTAAAGATATTCAAACAATGATAAATAAGCAGTTTATTCTTTCAAAATGACCTGACGGACGTGTTTGGGAACGAAAGAGGAAGACACGAAGCTACTTTTTAAGCAATAGCGCGGCTTTATTGCTTATTCTGGACTATAGAGGAAACGGGAGAAGAAAAGGAGAGAGAGAAATGAGTTTTCTGATCACCAGAACAGCAAGGCGTGCCCCGCTGTTTGATTTGACGGTTCTCCGTGTTTCTCCGCAGTTTTCAGCATCATCCGTCGGTTTGATGCTTTCTCCGTTGTTTGGCGTTCTCCGTGAGTGTTTCTCCACGGGCTGGACACAAAGAGAACGAAGTTTCTTTTGTGCTGAGTTTGACAACTTACAGCGTCTCTGAGAGCTGGATGGAGTTGCTGCTTTCCTTCGCAGTTCTGTGTCCTCAAACATCAGCTGGAGGGGAGCAGAAACGAGCAGATCTGATGGGCGTGCAGTTTAGTTTTTTCCAGCGGTCCCGTGGGCTCAACTTGGGCACTTAGAGCTTCCGCGTGCTCAAGGGAGTCGGAGCGTTCGACAAGCGTGTCCTTACCGCCAGGTATCCTGGGCAAAAGAACGAGGTTCCTTTGTCTTTTCTGAAGATTTATAGTCTTTGAAGTCGCGGGAAAGCTCCAAGCTCCCGCCTCCCGCACATGCGCAGAACGTGTTTCTGGTATTAGGCGGTGACATCATCCCAATGCTTCAGTGTGCAAAGCATCATGGGAAATGAAGTTTTTTGGCGCTGATGTGATTATTTGCTTTTCAGAGCAATTTAAGCATAGTCATTTTGGAGAAAATCACTGCATAGTAATTTCCTCATGAGGTCAGACCCTCAACAGTTGTCAGACAGTCTTGTGAAGAGAATGCTCAGGGTTGTCCAACATTTTCTTGATTCTCTGGAGAATCTTTCTTTGCATTATCTCCTGCAGCGGTTCTGAAACTGCCGAAACTCTGGCTGAGTCCTTGAAAGGGCTTGGAGTTCCTCCATCTTGTTGGCTAGTGATCTCACATTGCCCATCATGATCGATGGAAGAGATGGTTTGAATTTCCTCTTTCTCTGTCTCTGTTTTGCTCCCGCTCTGCACCCACGCTTCTTGTGTTTTAGCTCATTTGGGATTTGTGGCTTCAGTTGAGGAGGTATTATTTCAGCCTTTCCCATGTTAATCAGCTGCTCCCGATTGTAAACCAGCTTGTTGCCATGGATACGCATCATAACAAACGCTCAAAAAGTGAAAAAAGCTAAAAAATAGCAGTAAAAATCCTCCAAGCTTCACAGCACCAGAAACGGAAAAGTAAAGTGTTCAAAAATACAGTTTTTCTTGAGAAACTAGAAGAAAAAATGTCCAAGAAAAGGCAAAACTTACATATAGTCAACAGAGCTACTCCGACATGCAGCCACCCAGAGCTGCGCAGTTCCAGAAAAACCAACCAACTTGTTTTATCATAAATTATTGACATCGAATTGCCAGAGCTCCATTTAAAATATATTTTCTACATTTTATTATAATTATCAATAATTATTAATATTGATCAGATTCTTTTTTATTGATATGTTTTTTTTTCTATATTGACCGCTACTGGAGATCCTTCCTGCCAACAGCCATTGTAATACACAATAACTCTTTGACGACTTGATTATTATTATTATTATTATTATTATTAGCTACTACAGCAACAAATTTCCCTCTGGGATTAATAAAGTATTTTTGAATTGAATTGTCCAGCGCTACTTCAGATCCTGTCTTCTGAAGCTACTTTCTCCTCCAGCTGACTTCTCTGTTCTGATTCAAGTGCTTCTGGGCTTTTTCCCCTTGAGTACGACTTACAAGGCATTTGTTCCTACCACAGACCACTGAAAATGTACTGATGAAACGAGTGTTCGACACCTTTAAAATAACTTTTGTTCTACAAATGAAATTCTATTTGTGGTGGCCTCTTTTGTAGATACACCTTTAGCTAATGCTTTAAAAATAGAACGGTCTTCCAGGCAAGAAAACACTAGATGGAAAAATGTCTGAGTAGTTTATTTATAAAAGGTATTGCCTGTTTGGGAGTGATTTTGTTTAATTGTGTGTGTGTGTGTGTGTGTGTGTGTGTGTGTGTGTGTGTGTGTGTGTTAGACCGAGTCCAGAGGCAGGAGCGGGAGGTGATGCTGAAGCTGAAGCAGGTGGTGGACAAGCAGAGAGATGAGCTGAGGGCCAAAGCCCAGGAGATCACCACCATCTCCAAAGAGGTGGAGGCGGTAAGGAGACACAGATCCATCCCATAATTATTATCCTGCCTTTGCACACTGACAGATTAAAGGACTGACTTGTATGCAAAGCAGCAAAAGTAAAATAAGATGATAAAAAACACATTTCTGGTTTAATGGTTTCAAATGCTCTGTGACTCTAAAGCTGGGTTGGATTTTTAAAGGAAATTTTTTATACTCAGAAACCTCGTACAAACACTTGTGCACATGTTACACTTAAATAGCATAACAGATAAAATATAACATGTGAACAACATAGTAAAAACACCAGACAGTCAATAGATGAACTGTCGTGGAAAGAGGGCAGAGATTATTCTCATAGATGCTGGATGAGGATAAGTCAGGGCACTGTCTTCACTCGTGTGTGTGTGTGTGTGTGTGTGTGTGTGTGTGTGTGTGTGTGTGTGTGTGTGTGTGTGTGTGTGTGTGTGTGTGTGTGTGTGTGTGTGTGTGTGTGTGTGTGTGTGTGTGTGAAAGTGCATAGATCAGCAGCTGGGTGTGTTTTTTTACTGCCTAACTTTCTGTTCCTATTCAGTCGCCTTAAACAAAAGAAAAAAACAAATTTTTCACTCTGAACTGTCAAAAAATCATTTTACATGTCGGTCGTGTGCATTTAATTTTTTCAAACATAAACAGCTTTAGTTTAGGAGGCGTGGCTTCATACTTCATCTTAGTTTTCCCCGACAATTTTTCCCAAATCAATAAAATCGATTTGACTACTCTGGTCTGGGTTTTGGTCAGCCTGTCCTTTTGTGTCAGCTCTGGTGTGATGATGTTTTTGTAACAGTAGAAATAAAAGGAAGAGCGTTTGTTCTGCTTTTTGTGAGGCAGATCCATGATCTGTGTGTGTGTGTGCAGCTTCAGGAGCAGCTGGACCGTTTTATGAAGATGAACGCGGAACTGCGGCACAAGCAGAACGTGCTGCAGACGCAGCTGAGGAGCACCGTAGAGAGGAAGGCCGACGTGGAGGCCGACCTGAAGGAGAAACACAAAGAGATAGAAAGACTCATAGCTCAGCTGAGTGATACCAGCACCACCAGCCCCGTATGTACGCTGTCTGCACTCATGTTTTTTGTAACAAACAGAAACCCTGAATCTTTGTTTTTTTAATTCAAAACCAGTCCAGTCCAAGTCAAACTACAGATGAGTTGGGCAAAAAGTCGGCGCGTAGCCAGTCTGATCCCGATCAGCCGTGCTTCACCAAAAAGGAGGTGCGGGACATCCTGTTTGAGAGAAACGAGCTGAAAACGAACCTCTTCCTGGTGCAAGAAGAGCTGAACTACTATCAGAGGTGGGTCTGCTCATAGCCAGGCGCGCTGATGCTCCTGATAAATGTAACAACGCTGCCGGGTCTCTGCAGGGAAATATTGAATGAGGAACGATGTCCAGGTTTTCTCCTAGAAGCCCTCCGCTCTGCCATCAAGAAGAAAAGGAGGCTGATCAAGGCAAAGATGCTCGGGATTCCTGAGAACGAATGCAGCAGCGGTGGCAGGTGTCTGTCAGACAAACACCTTTAAGATGTAGAAACACACAGAAGGTGAAGAATGTGTGTTTTGTCTCTTCCAGTGATGAAGAAGACAGGAGTTCTCAGTATGGGCAGACAGAAATGGACGGGACAGAAGTGGACGGGCCTGACAAACCAGCTGAGTCACGTATTCGACACCTGTGAGTTTATCTACAGCGTTTATAAAAAACACGTCAACAGCAGCATGAGTCTCACTGTCCTGAGATCTGTCAATGCTCGTCTATTTTTAGCTGTAATCCCTGTCTGACGTCAGGTCTCTCTCTCTCTCGCCCTCTGTCTGCTGCAGCTTTGGCTTTCTGACGCGGTCGGGCAGCAGCTCCGCCCACATCAACAACTCTGCCTCCAGCTGGGAGATCATTGGCCACACGGAGGCCAGCGAGGACGCCGAGCAGCAGCCGTCCTCTTAAACCCGGTACTTCCACATGTCCTCGTGTTTGTCGGCCGGCTCAGGGGACAAACCCACAGACAAACAGAACGAGGGATTTTAACAATCCTTTTTTATTGTTTCAATACTTTTGCACCATGCAGGTATTAAATATTATTATAGGGAAAGTTTTATTGTGATGTTTTCAGAAATCTATTAAACCACAAATTTTATATTTATCTTAAGAGATTTTATGCAAAAAGCCAAAGAAAGTAACTCGTCTTCCTCTGTTGTTCAGCTGCTTTATGGAGAAAACTAAAAAAATTCTGTAATGTTTATGTTTATTGTCATTATGGGTTGAACTATATTTTATTTTTTTTAGTAAGAATTGTGTCTGGTGATCTGAAATATTTTTAAAAGTTTAAAATTTTGCTCATTTCATCTCAGACAGAAAACGTAAGCATTTCACGCTTAGATATTTATTCTACTAGATTAAATAATCCTCTAAACATGACATTTTACCATGTACCTCGAAGTAAATGGTTCATTAAAAGGTTTAAAGTGATCATTAAAATGTAATAGCATTAAATGCTGCTTTTACAAAGTCTTTAGGTGAGATAAATATTAATCACATGTGCCAAAGCGAGCATCTGTTCCAGAGAGCAAAATGAAACGCTCACTAATAAAGACAGATGATGTGATATTTAGGATTTAGCCGTCACACAGATTCGTCCACCTGGAAGACAGAAAGGGACAGAAACAATAAACATTACCAGTCTGGACGTCCTAAATGACATCATGTTGGATTTTCACAGGAAACAGGCATCTACGTTCATGTCTCTTCCACAGGGGGGCGCTCTTATAACTATACTCCTGTTTCTGTATAATACCTAAACTGTGTGTTTACTAATCATTTTTATGGTTTGAAACACTTGTTTGCAGGAGGAAAAAGAAAAGTTTTAGTTATAATATCGGATTCTTTTGGCAGGTTTCAAATTATTGTTTGATTTTAACAATTTTGTGTGATTATTGCTTAGATTTTCCTGCCAAAGCATCTAGATTTGTGAAATTCAGGAAGATGGTGTGTGCTGGATGTCCTTTGGCCACTTTTAGCTGACAGCATCAGTATAAAGTCACCTCAGTTCATTTCTGACTGTAAATGTTTAATCAGAGCTCTTCTCTGAGCGGCCAGTGGTTTAAACCTTCAGCCACACCATTTTCAAACAGGTTCTCAGCTTTATTCTGTGAGCATGACCCGAGTTACCACAGAAACGTGTTGGATGTTGTATAAAAGCATCATGATTTTTGTATTTTGTTGAAAAACATTAAAAACGAAATATATTTTTGAAAATGAGATGATTTTAGCGCATTTTTCCTCACTTATGAAGATCGTGTCGAGACGTCGTTGGACCAAAACCATCGTGTGGTTTTCGGTGACGGATTTCTTCATCATCTCCTGTTACACCATAGATTCTGGGAAAAGGGGCGAATACCTGTGTGTGCTCCTGCTCCACCAGTGTGTGTGTGTGTGTGTGTGTGTGAGTGAGACCATCTTAAAAAAAGCCTTGTGTCTGGCTGAATGGGAGGAAGTGGCTCTGACTTCCCTAGGAAATGGGGAGAGGAAAGCCGGGGGCTTTGACCTCTCTGGCTGCAGCAGAGCTACAAGAAGACTCACAGGAGAGAGCGAGGTAGCAGGGGAAGGGGAAGGGTGGACAGAAAAGACACATTCTGCCTCTATTTGGACTCCTCGCTGGAGGACAGAAAGAGTGGAGGCCATACAGACCGATATTCAGTCCCAGATTTGATTTTTGAGTGGAGATGAAACTTCTCAGAGCTCTGAGTGCTCTGCTCTGCTGCTGGTTGTATTCTGCTCACTCTTTGGATCCTGGTGGGAGGAACGTCTGCAACAATCCAAGGTACATTCACTTTTCACTCATTCATACCTGATGATTTTTTTTTTATCATCGGAACAGTCACAGAAGTTTCTGTCATCTAGATAAACAGAAATGTTTTTGATATCATTTTAGTGTTGTAAAAGTAGAGGTGTGTAGGACTGAGCTGAGAGGAGCAGAGGCTCATATTAATCATCTAATTGTCTTAAATATGCAGGAACCCCCCCACCCTGATCTGTTGCACTGGGTGGCGTCAGCAGGGAAGAGAGTGCACCATACGTGAGTTCATGTAACCCTCATAGATGATGCCGTTTCCTCCCTTTAGTGTTTGGTCTGCGGGGTTCTCATGTGTGTGTGTGTGTGTGTGTGTGTGTGTGTGTGTGTGTGTGTAGCTGTGTGTGAAGGTGAGCAGGCATGTCTGGAGAATGAAATCTGTTTACTTCCCGGAGTGTGTCGCTGTCCACCTGGCTTCTACGGAGCTCAGTGTAAAACCCGTGAGTGACATCAGAATCTAATAACTGATCTGGATCTGGTTAGACACACGAGCTGAACAGTCAGTGACGTTTTCCTTTCTGTTGTGGATTCATGTGTACGCTTGATTTTTGTCTTCATTAAAGGATTCGTGTAGACCACCAGGGGTCACCAACATGGCAGCAACCATATGTGCCCAAAGGCCTTTTTACCAAATAGCACAAGTCTAAATTTACTGCCATCTTTAAAATACAAATGCATTAATATACATTAAAAACTACAATTGTTTAAAAAACATTAAATGTGCTTATTATCCATGAAGTTTAGTTTAACTCTGATCTAGTCTAGTTCAAAGGTCACACTGGTAGCTCTTTGTGTGGCTCACTACCCATAAGTAGCTCTCGGAGGTTGGTGACCTGTAGACAGTGATTGGTACTCTGTGTGTGTGTGTGTGTGTGTGTGTGTGTGTGGTACCAGGCTGCCCCTCTGAGTTCTGGGCTCCAGATTGCCGTCGGGTGTGTCCCTGCTTCCCTCATGGCCGCTGCCATCCTGTCACAGGCGAATGCACGTGCAGCGTCAACCGCTGGGGTCCGCTCTGTCAGAACTCCTGTAAGTGCGCCCGCCACGGTCACTGCCACCCCGTCCACGGAAACTGCACCTGCGCCGAAGGCTGGTCCTCATCAACCTGCTCTAAACTGTGCCAGTGCTCCATTGGTGGCTCAGTCGATGCCAGCTGTGACCAGCTAACGGGCCGGTGTCAGTGCCACAGGGGCTTCTGGGGGATCAAATGTTCTGCCAAGTGCAACTGTGACCAGTCTCCGTGTAATCAGCGCACAGGTGTGTGTGAGTGTGTGGAAGGCTGGTGGGGGACCAGCTGTGAGAGGAAATGCATCTGTGACCTCACACACAGCAGCTGTGACCCGGTTACTGGCCAGTGCCTGTGTCACCCGGGTTACCATGGTTACTTATGTAATCAGGCCTGTGAGGCTGGGCGCTACGGCAGCGGATGCACAATGAGGTAGGCTCAAGCATTTGCTGAAAGATGGATAAAAATGCTTTGCTTACCCTGACCTCACTTCCTGTTTTTAGTTGTGGTCACTGTAAGGACAGCCAGCCATGCTCCGCCTCTGATGGAGCGTGTGCGGCTTGTGAACCCGGCTGGAACGGCACACGCTGCGACCGCGCATGCCCATTTGGTTTTTATGGTGATGGCTGCAAGGAGAAGTGTCCACGGTGTAGGACGGATGAATCCTGCCACCCAGAAAGTGGGAAATGTGAGAAGTGTGAGCCTGGATGGAGCGGACCCAGGTGTGTGTCGGATTAAATAAAATTCTCCTCAGAATGTAGCAGAACTGAGATTTAACTAAAAAATAATGTGATGTCATATGTGTGTTTGTCCAGATGTGAACAGCCCTGTGCTGATGGGACTTACGGAGATGCCTGCCGCTTCCTGTGCAGCCCTTGTTACCGTGGTAACTGCCATCACCTGACAGGAAGATGTGTCTGTCAGCCAGGTTTTCAGGGAGAGAGGTGAGTCGAGGCTCTGATTAAAGGGTTAAGGCGTGCTGCTGCTTTTGAGACGATGTGGTTCTGTTTCTGTTCCAGCTGTAACAGCAGCTGCTCGGCCCTGCAGTTTGGCCTCAACTGTTCGTCCAGCTGTGGCTGTGGTGAAGGCATCAGCTGCCACCCTGTCACTGGGGCCTGCCCCAACAGTACGTCACCTCATTTACCCATCACACACGTGTAGATGTGTGTGTTTGTCAGTCTGGATGATGTCAGAAGTTTGTCGGTGTTTGTCTGCCAGGTGGTCGAGGTGCCGTGTTAGCCGGCGTGCTGGTTCCCCTGTTCCTGCTGCTTTTTGCAGTGCTGTGTTGTTGTCTGTGTTGTGGAGGAGGCCCTTCTGATGGCAAGGACAGGTCTGCTCTCACCTACATATACATACATGGGCATCCTTTTAAATTCCCACTAGAACAAATCCACAGAATCTAAAAATGTTATGATATCTTTCATTTTTTTCCTCCAGAGCGATGGCGGCTGACGGCGGCTTGTCTGTCAGGATGAAATATCACGTTTACAGCGTTCTGGCAAACATCGGTGCCGCCCTGCCCTGCATCTCTGACTGGTCGTCTGGACTGCCTCGGGTCACTGGTCAGAACCATCGTGCAGGATTTAAAACATGTTTTATTTTTTACATATTAGCACAAATAAAAACAGCTTTAAATACTGCAGGTTGTAGAATTGTGAAATTTCAACATACCTTTAGTTACACCTTTTGTGGGTTTATTATCTTGGACATGTTTTGGGAATCGCATCAACGTTTTCTTCCCGATTCCCACTTAGTGTCTCATCATGACCCAGAGCTGACGTTCAACCACAGCTTCATCGAGCCTCCCTCCTCTGGATGGGTCACAGAGGGGTCGTCGTTTGAGAGTGATGAAGAGGAAGGTGAGGCTCTCTACTGCGTCCCTCCACGAGAAGGTAGGAGCAGAGACCCAGAGCAACCTCAACAAACATTTCCCTCCCTGCGCTCAAATGTCTTTTCTCTCTTGGACAGACATCCTGGAAGTGGCCGGCGGTGAGTTCCAGGAGATGAGCTCCAAATGTAACATGTTCTTGGACCCGTCAGGCTTCAGCTGTGAGGACATTGCCTCCCCCTTCAACATCCCTCGCACCTCCAGCATCGCCAAGTCCAAGCGCCCATCTGTCTCGTTTGCGGAAGGCACCCGCTTCAGCCCCAAAGAGAGGCGCGGCTCAGGTCAGGACCCCGGTGCTCCTCTGCGCTGCAAAGCTAAGTCTCCCTGGGGGGTTCTGATGCTGTCAGCCCTCCAAAGTCAGGGAGGCACAGTAAGAACTGGAGAGGAGGATGGAGCTGAGGGAGAGGAAGAGGACAGCGCGGATGTCCAATTGACAGAAAATCAGGAGTCAAGAGGAGAGGTAGAGGCCCAAGAGTTACAGAGTACCCCATCTCAGGGGACCGTGCAGGCTCCTGGGTCCTCAGGACGAAGACGGACTATGTCCAACGCAGCTGCTCGTAAAGGAGCCTCTGATGGAGAGGCGGGGCTCTCACATAAGGCCACCACGGTGTACGTGACGGTGGGTAAGGCAGGTCGCGCCGTAACAAAGACAAGTCCTAGCTCTGAGGGACCGGTTCAGGCCATGCTGAGGAGACTTGGCAGCCTGCAGAGACAGAGGGACCTGGAGAGTGATAAACCAAAGTCAAAGGCCGCTGAAGGCATCACCAAACCCCCCAGAAGGAAGCTGGGAGCCCGAGCTGCCGTGTGGGAGCAGGGAGGGCTGTCTGGAGGAGAGGCTGGAGCCTGCAAGCCATTCAGGAGGAAGTATGCTTCCCACAATCCCCCTGAAACAACTGGTCCAGATGAAGCTTCAGCATCAGCAGAGAACACCCCCAAACGGCCTCTGTCATCGATTCTAAAGAGCAGAGCAGAGGTAGACACCGCTGACTCAGGATCAGATCAGAGGGCTGAAGGAGAGGCGGTGCAGGGCGCTGGTGTCGCAGAGAGCTGCTACCAGACCATAGGAGCAGCAGGAGACACGGTGGAGGTCATCATCAACGAGAATGCGGTGGTAAACAGGACCGACGAACCATGCTACGAAAACATCATAGTGAAATAATCAGAACTAAAAAGAACCAAGTCAGCAGGTCTGATGGGAATTCAACAGCATTTTTATTACAGGCAGCAACAGAAACATGTCAGATAAAACTACAGCTGGTGCTTCTGTTATATCAGTCATGGTGTTTGTATTTAATTTAGAAAAGCATGATCACTAGGTAAAAACTCACAAATACAGTCTAATGGATCAGCTGACTGTTCAGGAAATCAGCTGAACTTTGAACGTTCTGGACTTTCACTGATTGCTGCTGTTTGTTGGAGTTGATGAACAACCAGCAGCGTTACACCAAACGTGAGACACCATATTTTAGCCGCACTGATCTCACACATTACCACACAGAAACAACAAAAAGGGAACGCAGGTGAAACTACTTTTTCTCTGCTCCGGTTGTGTCTGAACAGCCGAGCCAGTACTTGGCGATGGATCTGGGGTACGGTGGCATAGCGGGATCCACTCTCTTTGTCCTCAGGTCCACTCTGTAGTATTTATCTAGAAACCACAAATGAGGCAGTCACTTATTTATTTTTACTATAGACTATGTTTGCTTTACCAAGTCTCTTGACTTTCCTTACTTTTAACTTCAGTCAAAACTTTTTTTTGAAGACTTTTTTTTCCTAAATCTTAGAAAACAGCCTAGAGGAGCTGCTGCCATCTTTTCATGTGAAACTGGTTACTATAGAAGTCATCTGTGATCAGGTTTGGGCTGTCTGCCCTCTGAGCTTCAGCTAACATAGTTTAAAGTCACGCTGATATATATTGTTAATCTTTTGAACAAAGATGGAGTCATTCTATTGTGATCACTGTTCTGCTGCAATGAGAAGATCTGTTTGGATCTTCCATTTAAAGGGATACTAGGCAACCTTTTCACATTTTTAGATCATTTTCATGAGTCAGTGTGTCCTAAAATGAGCCTTTACAGGGTTATTGATGTGTCACTCCAACCTCCACAGCCCTCTGTGGTCAGAATATCACACTTGCAACTTCAGAGTAGCCAGTCTGGTCACTGCTGGTAGAGGGAGCTGTGGAGCTGACATGGTGGGGCTGGAGTCGGCTTCCAGCACGTTTCTTATGATCATGATCACAGCTGATTCGTTTGATTTAGTGATGAATCACGCCTGTAAAAACTAATGAAGGCTGAGGAGTCATTTCAGTTGTTAGATTAATGGAATAGCAAAGGATATTTTTCTTCCGGGTGGACCATCTGAACCATTGGTCCGCTTAATTGTCAGTCATTCTGGTGAACCATTCACGCAAGGCCGTCATCGTACGTTGCTGGGTAGTTTTCACTTCCTGCGCAAAGCGAAGGTTGGGCTCCCCACAGATGCCTCTGTCGCCGGTTTTCTGCTGGACAGGTAAGCTAAAGTTCGGCATACTATTTGGAGAAATTCATTTCAGATTACTGCTAGAAGAAGAAGTTGGCTGCAAGGCCGACAGCTACTTGTAACAAGGATAACGGCGTTCTTTCTCATGCGCATTTTTTTTTTCCAAAACGAGGAGCGGGCGGTTCTTTACTGAAATTCAGAAACATCCTCCGCTATACCTTTAAGGCGTTAAAAACACGAACGCACAGCGAGGAGATTTTGATTTAACCACAGTAAGTTAATAACGGACACTAGAGGGTGCCTCCCTCTAGTATGCATGTGTGTATCTGACCAAACTAATGTCCTCTTTGATGTAAAGTTACAGCGGATTCCAGCTCACCCAGAAATGACTCGTAGAAAACACAGTGCTCCTATTGCCTGCCACTGGAGGGCCGTAAGTGTGCAACCCTTTGCAGAACACTGGGGCTATGATGTATTTCCATAATTGGCTCTGTGTGGCCTCTAAGAAATGAAATGTTGAGTTAACTTAACCAAGTTATGTCAACTGGTTCCACTAGTAGCTTAAACGTGAAGAGGAATTGACACAACAACTAGTGGAACCAGATGGCGTAACTTGGTTAAGTTAATTCAACATTTCATTTCTTACAGTGTATACTCTTCTATATTTCCATTGCTCTGTAGGTCACTGCTTTGATAGCTACATTTTTGCTTTCCATTAATCATAAATGGCCCCTAAAGAATCTTTGTGTCAGACTAACTATGTGAACTCGTTATGGTCATAGAGGGTCATGATAGCATTTAGCATTAGGTCTGTCAGTGATGTGGGTGAATGAATACCGATGTGTAACAGTTCATATCCATCGCTGCTGTTTTACCTGCTTTGAAGAAGTAGACGCTCTGTATGGGCATGTCCCTCAGGAAGGACCGGTCGTTTCTGGAGTCATAGTTCCCTCTGTTGTTCTGGTTGTAACGGTCCCAGCGTCTGTCCTGGTCCCAGTCCTGGTCCCAGCGCCTGTCCCAGTCTCGACCAAGCCTGTCCTCCATTTCCATCCTCCTTTCTGCAAGTCTCATACCCATCTCCATCCCCCTCTCAGCAAACCTCTGACCCATGTTCAACCCCTGCTCAGCCGCAGACCCCCAGTGGGGTGAGCGGTTCCACCTCCTCTGACCCCTCTGCCACCCGTTCTGCTGCCCCCACTGCCGTCCACCTCCCTGCTGGTCAGGCTGGTAGTCGTAGCGGCGGGGCATTGACCTCCCCGTAGTGATGTAGATTCGGCCACTCATGGCAGCATCCACCGGAGACTTGAGGCCTTTCCAGTCCTTGTTGATGAAGTGGTGTTTGTCATGGTGCTGAGGTACTGAGGAAGATCCAGAAGGTGAAAATGAAGACTGCATTCATCAACAAACAACTTCTGTAGGAGCTCAAACTTACAGTCAGAGAAGAGCTCATGAAAGAAACGCTCGTAATTGTTGTAGTACAGATCAGTGTAGCGCCTGAACAAGGCAGACGGAGATCTCTCAGACATGACGGCGCACTCCTCATGGGACGGTTGGTGCAGAAACTCATAAACGTAATACTGATCATCTGCACAAATCAGCAGCAAAACGGCTGTTAAACCTCTACGGAAACAAGTCTCTGATCATATTTTAGCATAAATATTCAGAGCTCTACAGAAAGAGGTGCAAATTAGAACATATCTGACTTTTGAAGAAGTAGACCTTCTCTTTCCCGTGGTGGCTGTGAGCAGGCAGTGCAAACGCTGCATCCACATGATCAGGAATCTTATCAAAGCCAACGCTGATGTCTCGAGGATAATCATCATCCAGCTCGTTGTTGTCAAACCTCCAGTACTTGTTTCCCTGATGAAACATTTTCATTCGGACATTAAATAATGAACGATGACACCTTAAGGGTAATAGGCCCTCACCTTAAAGATATAAGTCTTCCCCTGGCAGTTGATGCGAGTGAAAGCAGCATCAATCGGACCCTCGATGCCCCACACGTCTTTTATAAGCTTTGGGTAACCAGTTAGCACCGACTTCTGGTCCAGCTCGAAGAAATATTTACCTAAATCAGAAACACTCCTTCTAGTCTTCATTACAGCTGATCCGGGACGGATCTGATTAAACGTGACTCACCCCTGAAGGCGTAGATGGAGCCATTTTTCAGCTGCATGAAGGCATCAAAAGGCCTGCCGCTGCAGACCTCAGCATCTGGATCAGGCGCCGCGGTGGTGGCTTTTGTTGTGGGAACGGTGGTGGTCTGGGCCGTTGTGTGGGTCTGAGGAGATGACGTCACCGTGGAGGGCTCACTTTTGGGAGGAGGTGAAACAGGTGTGACTCTGTGGTTCTTCAGGTGTGGGGGTCTGGTCATTTGTAGACTGATCTCTGGAGACTGACGTAACCTGTGACTAAAGTCTGGGACGAGAGGCTGTGGGGTCGAGGGGGCAGTAGGAGACTGGCTGCCTGTTGAGTGTTGATCAGATGTAGCAGTGATCACAGACAAGTCATAATCATCCTCTGCAAACTCGAAGGTGTCTCCGCGAGCTGAAGGGAACACTGAAGTTAGATTTCTGACATGCTTCACAGCACGAGCAAGGATGTAGAAGGAACGAGGTTTCTTACTCATCATCCCGCAGAGGGCCTCGTAATCCTTGCAGCAGCTACTGTAATACTTGCACATGGAGTCACACTGGCACTTCCTCTCAGAGTCGAAACCATTTTCGCAGCGGACCAAACAGGACTCTTAAAATAAAGTGGTTAATTTGCTTTTGCTGTTTCTCATTTACACTTAAATTAATTTCCTCCAGTCTCTCATTATATTAAATTCAATCATAGCTCTCACGAGGATGACATCAAACACGTGTACTTCCCTTCTTTAGTTAAACATTTTTATTGTAAACAAGCTGTTTCCTGTTAGGATTAATGAATAAGTTACAGATAAAATCAGAGTTTCATTGGTTAATTGATTAAAGGATGGTGGCTTCACTAACATGGTCCGGTTTTTATTATTCTTATAAACACTTGTTGCTTTGGTCATTTGAAAGTCAGTTTTATGTTATCTATGAAATTCTTTGGAACCAACAAATGAGCTAAAACAGTTTCTTTTTTTACAGTTTTATAACTGGGAAAAATCTTATGTAAATCAGTAAAAACTGATTACGTCATCATTAAATTTGAATTTTAAACTCAGCTTTAAAGATATATGTGGATCTAATAGTGGAAATGAATCAAGCTTATATCTTAGACTAAGTTCTCTATAATTAAACATAAAATATTACATAAAAGGACCAGTAAAAACCTTTTCTACTGTCCTGCTGTATCTTTGAATAAATGTACATTTTGGGCTTTTAATCAGATAAAAGTTGGATTTGGCCGACAGATTAATTATTGAACAATAAAATAATCATCTGATGAGATGTTGGTAGACTTGTTAGTAAAAACTATTTTAAATAATCTATTAGTGAGATATAAGATAATTCCATATACCAGCAGTTTTCTGCCAAAACTGTTAAGGACTGGAGATTTTTAATTCTTACCATCTTCAGTCAAGCCGTCAGCGACCAGAGCGAGCAGCAGGATGATGAAAAGCCTCATGTTGTCTCTGCTGTGTCTGCGGACAGACTGAAGGACTAACCAAGGACCACTCGCTCTCAGTTATTGGAAACATGTGTCAGTCAGTCCCGTCCCCCCCCCCCCCCCCCCCCCCCCCGTTTACTTTGACCTGACTTGAGCAATCAAATACCAGCTCACAGGGGAGAGATCAATGAGGACATTTGGGACACCCTTACCAAAAAGTACTATAGTATGCACTTAATAGTATGAGTGGAATAAAATGTACTACTAATATACAGTACTACTACTTAAGTATATCAGTAAAAAGTTTAAATACAAGTATGATCTAAACATGCTTTTAGTATACTTCTTAGTATAAGCCTTTTTATTATAAGCCAAGCATAAGTAACAAACTTTGCAAAGTACACATAAAGTACACTAAGAGAATACTCTTATTTTTGGTTTACAATTGGTATAATTGAAGTACTCTTGCATATACTACTATTTGGAAAGGACAGGACACAGAAAACGCAAAACAAAATTAATGGAGAATAAAAACAGACGTCAGTGACCTAGCTGTAATAAATAGTCTGAAATAAAAAAATAAATATTTACACTCAGTGATTTTTCTTTTAAATCCATCTAAAATAGATGAAGAATTTGTAAGAGATTTTGATGTGTTTTGAGTTTTATTTTGAAAGTAGTTTCACTGACATTTCCAAACATTTCATTTCATGCTTTTAAGTTGAAGCTTCCTGTAAAAGGCGAAAGTTACGTTTGAAAAATTTTCATTTCACTGAAAGTAACGGCGAAAAAAACAGTTTAAACGAAGAATAATTGACAACTGAGAACGAGTCGAAAACAGAAACGCGGTAAAGTTTATAACACGTTTAAGTTTTTTTTAGTAAAATGAAGCTGAACTTAAAAGCAAAGTTACAAGCTAATTTTCGTTTTAGTGGTTTACAAATATTTTTGTTTCAGTGAATGCGTGTTTATGTATGTATGGAAGCCCATTCCCGCCACTCAGATAAAAAAAAATTATTATCTCATAATTATGACTTAGCTATCTCATAATTATGAGATACTAAGGGTTAGTAACCCATAAGTCATAATTATGAGATAATACTTTTTTTTTATCTGAGTGGCGGGAATGGGCTTCCATACATGTTAATGGTCCAGTTTGAAAAGCGTCAGGCTCCTCTGCATGCACAACCATGCGCTAAGCTCCTCTGCGCATGCGCAAAGTTCCATAACGGCGGACGACAGTCTCGTTTTGCCTCTTTTTTCCGGTATACGGTAGAAATTTACATCCACTTCTGCGGCTACAGACCGAGAAGAAGCGACTGGTGAAGCTAAGAGGAAATAAAACATTATTTTGACTTTTTTATGCGTGAAATGAAGCCGCTACAGAGCTGTCGGTGCACAAGAAGTGTCATCACTACGGTTCTTTGTCTGCAATGATTCAAGCAATCAGAGTGGAAGTGGGATTTTTTTCTTTTAAGTAATTTACATTTAGTAGTAAATGTTGCTTCGGCTCTTCAAACAGAAAAGAAAGATGAGGATGGAGGAAAACAGGACAATCCGCTGATTTCTGCTTCACGCCTGCTTTTGATGATGCAACGTGGTGAAATTTGTCACTTTTGATCTTTTCCTGACCCTTTGACTCCTCTCTCGGAGCCGACTGACTCACGGCGCTCTAAACAAACAAAGCTGCAGGCCTGTAAACATCCTTAGACCGCCTCCCTCTGTAGATGCTCTTGTCTCTGACGATCTTCCTGTCCAGGCTCCACCGGCATCTCAGATTCATGTTCAGCTCAGACAGACTCACCGTCCCAGATTATGTCAGCCGGCTACAGAGAGGGAGGGGCGGCTCCGGGGGCGAGCCCAAGCCGACCTCCCCGGGCATCAATGCCGACGTCCGGGCTGTCTTGGACACCTCACTCCCCGCCTTGCGCTCCGCCATCCAGACACTCAAAGCAGCAAAGGAAAGCTCTGATTCAGATGAGACCCGCAGGGCCGTGGCGGAGATCTATCAGCTAGTGGAGGAAGCCTGGGTTTTACCCACCGTGGGTCGTCAAGTGGCCGAGGAGATCTGCAACAGGATCCGGCTGGATGGAGGCCTGGAACTGCTGCTGCTGCAGCTGCAGCAGACACCTGCTGTGGAGATCATGTATGAGTCTGCAAAACTGCTGGAGCAGATATTGATCTGTGAGAACAGGTACTGGCTCGGTTTCTAAGGATGATTCAGTTCAGTGCAGCGACACAACAAAATAAACAAGCTCCAGTTCGGAACATTTAAACAAACCAGTCACACCAGGATGGTTTCATCATGCAGCAACAACTCCTAAGCAGCAAGGGTTCAGCTTAGGTCTACAGCCTTCACAATCTAAGAGCAAAATTAAATTTGAGCAGAGCCACAAAATCCATTTAGAAATGTAAAAACTAATCAAATAAGTTTTCATGTTATTTCGTTGGCCCCAGACCTTGGTTTAGTTAAAGGCAACCTGTTTGGCAACTTTATATGCACACTAACAGATTATTTATTTGTTTATTTGAATTTTATATAACCAGACAGGGTCAGGAACACAGAACACATTTAGGACAATTCTGCACAATTTGAAAACGAGTCATTTCGTAACATTTTGCTTTCAGAAGCCAGACTTTCTGTTGTCTTCAGCAGTAGTTTTTCATCCTCTCAGTGGCAAAGAGCTTTTTCATACTAAGAATTTGTTTGTTTTTGGCTGCTTTTGTTCATTCATTTTAATTTTTTGCATCCAACCAGAATCACTTTCTTTAAAATATAAAGAAATATGTGATGGATGAAAAGCAGCCAAGGAAAAACTGTAAAAGACCTGAGAGCATGAAGAGCTATTGATATTTTTGCAAGGAAAGGTGAATTAACTGAAGGATGGCTGTATTAGTTAGAGCAGGGATGCACAATCAGCATCAGTATTGGTCCGATAATTGAAACTGGGCAGATTTCACCAACAAATGTTTTTTCCATCTTGTTTGTGTTTGTGTATCTGTTTCAGAGAGGGAGGGGTGTGATGATGTGTTATTGTTTTGTACTGTGACAGTGACGGTAGTCATCTCAGAAGTGTAAGTGTGTGTGTGTGTATAATGTTGCAAATTCCGCTTTGTAGAAATAAAGCAAAACATTCAAAAATTCAGCTTGCATAATTTTCAGTCTATTCCAAATTTGCTGATATCAGAAGCGTAAATGTCGATATATTGGTATCGGCAAATATCGGCTATCTGCCATAACAGTGATATCAATAACAGATAATCGGTATCTGCCCCAAAAATTCACATCATCAACCTTAATTTATAGGTTTTCCTGCTGTTTTCAGCTCGACTCACACCAACTACGCTACTTTCTGATGTTCTCTGTCCTTTGACAGGGATTACGTTGCCCGCATGGGTCTGGGTGTCATCCTCAATCTGACCCGACAACAGGACGATGCTCAGCTGGCTCGCAGCGTTTCTGGCATCTTGGAGCACATGTTCAAACACACAGAGGAGACGTCCATCCACCTAATCTCCAACGGCGCTCTGGACGCCCTCCTGTTCTGGTGCCGCGGCACAGACCCCACCGTGCTGCGTCACTGCGCCGTGGCACTGGCCAACTGTGCCATGTACGGAGGCCACCGCTGTCAGCGGTGGATGATCGAGAAGCAGGCGGCCGAGTGGCTCTTCCCTCTGGCGTTTTCCAAAGAGGATGAGCTCATCCGCTTCTACGCCTGCCTGGCTGTGGCGGTGTTGGCTGCAAACCGAGAAATTGAGAAAGAGGTGGTGAAATCAGGCACCCTGGACCTGGTGGAGCCGTTCATCTCGTCTCTGGATCCGGACGACTTCACTCGCTGCTTACTGGACAGCGCAGACTGCATGCAGGGGAGGACAGCGTCTGACCTGCAGCACCTCTTACCCTTACTGGATGGCATCAGAGTGGAGGGAAAGTGCATTGCTGCCTTTTATCTTTGCGTGGAGGCCAGTATCAAATCCCGTCAACGCAACATGAAGGTACAACAAACCCAGCTGCTGTATAACAGAAATAATTTCATTATTTCGTGGCTCATTTCTAATGTTTTTTGAAGATATTCCAAGAGATCGGTGCAGTCCAGAGCCTGAAAAGAATCGTCATGTACTCCAGTAACGACACGGCCTCTGGCCTCGCCAAGCGGGCACTGAGTATGATGGGAGAAGTAGTGCCAAAGCGAATCCTGTCATGTGTGCCTAACTGGAAAAGCTGCGAAGTGCAGACGTGGCTGCAGCAGGTTGGCTTTAGTGCCTTCTGTGATCGTTTCCAGGTGAGTAAACAGCCAGACACCCTCAGAGATCATTAACGTGTAGGTGTGTCAGCGCTCTGAGCTGATTGTTATGCAGGAGCTCCAGGTGGATGGAGACCTCCTGCTGAACATCACCGATCAAGATCTAAGCTCTGATTTGGGCATGGCTGCAGGTCTCACACGCAAGAGGTGAGCATGGAAGTCTTTCAGAACACCCTAAAAGGTTCACATGCATCTAAAAGCCATTTAAAAATCAAATCTGACAGGTTTCTGAGAGATTTACGTGTGCTGAAGACTTACGCCGACTACTCCATGTGCGACCCAAACAACATGGCTGATTTGTTGGTCGAAGTGGATCCCCGTTTTCGCCAGTACACCTACGGCCTGGTCCAGTCAGGAGTGGACCGCAGCAACATCCAGTGTCTGACCGATCAGCAACTGCAGCACGACTGCCACGTGGAGAATGGAGTCCACAGAGCAAAGATACTGTCGGCCACACGGAGGCCCCTAAAGCCGTGTCACACAGACGCCCAGCCTCCAGGACCCGACGTGTTCATCAGCTACCGTCGGACTACCGGCTCCCAGCTGGCCAGGTGAGGATGGACAGGGAAGGAAACGCGGGTTAGGTTACAAAATGTGAAATTGAACTAGATGAATAAATGATGAATGTTGTTTTGCTCTTCCAGTCTGCTGAAGGTGCACCTACAGGTCAGAGGTTACAGTGTCTTTATAGACGTGGAGAAGTTGGAGGCTGGGAAGTTTGAGGACAAACTCATTCAGAGTGTTCAGAGGGCCCGCAACTTCATCTTGGTTCTGTCCTCCAATGCCCTCGACAAGTGCATGGGTGACACGGACATGAAGGACTGGGTGCACAAGGTCAGAGGAGCTCCACTCCAGTCTCAGTTAAAGTCATCATTTAGCTCTGCACACAGTTTAGGTACAAAGTTTTAAAAAAAGGAAATCAAACAAACACAATTCTGACAAAAAAAAGATGCAATGATAACAAAGCTGGTCATGTGACCCAGGCACCTTAATTTATCCTAAAATCAACCATCACATTCAGAAGAAGAAGAAATCATTTCTATAGCACCTCTCAAAATAAAAATCACGAGGCGCTTCATAAAAATGAAAAATGTAAAAATATAAAAAAGAATTTAGAAAATGGTTAAAAATATGTTTAAAATGAGCTAAAAATAGACAATTGTGATAAAAAAAGGGAGAGGTTTAAATCATTATTTTTTTGTTTAGTTTATTTCAAACAAAGAAAACATACATAATATTTAAAAAACAAAAACAAAAAAAATACATATCATCGTCCCTTTTTTCTTCTTCTCTGTCTGTAAAGGAGTAGGCTGAAGTCGAAACTTATATGTCCCTACCCCTTTATACAAGTCATTTTACTTGTTTACTAAATGTAACACAAAACCACATTAAAACAAACAAAATGGTACAAGTCACCAAAAACCACCAAACCATATGGAAAAAACAAAAACAAAAAAACCCCACATCTTTTTACAATTGATGCTCATATTTAATTTTCCTTAGAATAAAGGACAACCATCATTTATCATCTTATACAGTATTATTTATGTTGCAGGAAATAGCCACGGCCCTGGCTGGTAAGAAGAACATCGTCCCTGTCATTGATAACTTTGCATGGCCGGTCTCCAGCTCACTTCCAGAGGATATGAGGCCTATTCTCAACTTCAATGGCATCAAGTGAGAATCATAAATCATACAAATAGAATCCAGGGAGGCAGAACGACTTTGTGTGTGTGTGTGTTTACGATGGATATTTTATCAGTAGTTTAGTTTTAGAAGATGCTTGACTGAGCTGATCTGTGAAGTCTAACTATCCTTCTGCTGCCTCTCCATGTAGATGGTCCCATGAATATCAGGAAGCCACCATCGAAAAGATCATCCGCTTCTTGAAAGGACAGCAGGACACGACGGATGGCTCCAAAGACCAGAAGAAAAAGGAAACAAACCCGGTTTAAACGGCGGCTGCAGAAAGCTGCACAGCAGCTTTACCTCCTCCAGACAAATGCATGTGAAGTTCAGGGTGTTCAGATAACTCCACCACATGAATAAGTTAAACAACAGGATGGGAGTTTTAGACTTCGTATAATAAAATGTAACGCCAGTCTCCACATGCTGCTGTGTTTGTGTGCCCACGCTAGTATCAGCCTTCTGTTTCTCAGGTAAATACCCAACTGACCAGCAGCATCAACCATCAGAGACGACACCATCTTTAACTCTGTGCTGTAATCTATAACACGTGTATCATAAAGTGATGCAGGTCACTGATCTGACTCGGCAGATTTTTATGTTGAGAAGAAACTTAGTTTTTGATAAAACGGAGAAGTTTCATCTAAGCTTTTATTCAGACACTAGATATGTGGTGTAAGATTACCCATAAAGCTGTTAAAATGAAAATAAACTGTCTCTGTGTTGCAAAAACCCACAGGTGTTTTAGTAAAGTTGAACAAACCTGTGTAGCGACACCAGCACCACTCTGCTCCGACTCAAAATATTTATGAGTTCTGTTTTTCCATAAATAAGCCTTAAAAATTTCTGTCCTTTTACTCGAGCCTGCACTCACATTAAAGATTAAAGTCCTATTAGTCGTCACACTGGTGAAATTTGTTCTCTGTGTTTGACCCATCCCCTGGGGCGGCGGTGAGCTGCAGACACGGCTGCACTTGGGAATCATTTGGTGCTTTAACCCCCGAACTGAACCCCTCAATGCAGAGTCAAGCAGGGATGCACTGGGTCCCATTTTTAAGGTCTTTTGTATGACCCGACTGTGGATCTGAACCCATGATCTCCCAGTCTGAGTGGACACTCTCATACCACTGAACTGAAAAGGCAGAATTGTCAAATAAGCTAGTTTGGAAAATGTTTTTGCTTTTTTACGTTTGCTAGTTTATTTAAAACACATTGATAGAAAAAAAAACTTAGATTTTAAATGTATTTATATGCAAACTATAAAAATGGATCATTTAATGAAAGTTCATGAATTTCATGAATAAATGCAGTTGTGTTGAAAAATGTAAAAGCTGCAGCTTCAACAAACACGTGTGTTGGTTTAGTCACGGCTGTGACCCGATGGTCCAACAACACTGCAGTTAATCTTAAATCTGGTCGTCTGCAGAGCAAAACACAGACAATTCAACTTTTAATCAGAGAAAAACAATTATTTCATCATTTTCACAACAAAACGTGATCACATTGTCAAACAACCAACCAACACGATGTAAAAGTTAACGCCAAAGTTTTGCACAAGAAAACACTTAAAAAAAATATAAAATCATTAAAAAACATTATTTTAAAATTTATAAAATATAGAGATCATCTGTGTTGTGCATAAAAAGTTTTGGTCTCCTTTGATTACAAATGTAATCAGTAATCACACCTGTTTCAGGTGAGTTAGCGTTTCTGTGAATGGATAAAAACGCTGCAGAAAATCTTTATCATCTAAGAATCGTGCTTTTCTTTTGATGTTGGAATCTTTAAAAACGTTAGGAATAAATCATACGTTAGAATAACCTCGATCTGGAAAAATAGAGATAAATTGAAGCAAACGGCTAGTCACAATGAAAACAGGATTAAAGTAGAATACTGCCACCTTAGAACAACTCCAATACATTCTTGCAAACAAACATTTCATATATTATTCATGCAGAAATACAGAATTTGGAGTGAACGCGCTGTAAATATCTTTGGTAGTCCGTCTAAGTGACTGTAAATTCAGACAAATAGGGAAGCTAAAGGTTTTTAACAGGATGAGCATGAACCATTATGCCTATTGAAGGATTAGAGATGTTTAAAGACAGCAGTAATTTAATCTGGACCTGGCTCACTGTGAGCTGCAGTTAACTTGTTCATTAGAGTCTCAAACAAATTCTATTTCTCCAAACTTAGGCTGTTCAACAATATTTTTCTGGGTCTGATCTTCCAGCTAATAAAACTCATATGAATCATTGGAAATGTTGGATATTTAAGCACATTATTTCTTTGGTGTTACTGGAATAATTCCACCACCAAACAAAAAACAAATCCTCATTTCTATATTAGGATTAAAGTTTCTCCTGGAATCCCAGACATGATGTCGGATCTGCTGAGGTCACGGAGCGATATCGGGATGTCAGGAAACCGGAGCGTCTCTCTGATTCCTCCTCTGGTCGAAACACTGCACCGCCCTACGAAGACAGATGGAAAAAACAGGTGTTTTGTTTTCTACCTGTTGAGGATCAAAAAGACAATAAATAAAATAAAAGCGCAGACCCACCCGATTATTCCAGCAGGGATGAAGAGAACGAGGGCAGCAAAAAGGAAGGGGAAGCCCTTCATGAAGTGAAGAGAGGCTGGGTAGAGGGAGTTAAAGATGCTGCTGCCCACCAGGAAACATAAGCTCTCCACGCAGGCGACGGAGGCAAACAGGGCACCTGGGGACAGAAACACACCCTGAAGACCAAACTGCACCGATGTGTTACTGGTCCAATCGACTTCCATCTGCTGCAGCACAGCTACGACTCGTTTACACATCTGCACAGCATCAGGAACTCACCTTGTTCTGATGGGCCCACCAGCTTGGACAGCTTTGACCTGAGCACGGGAGTGGCAGCCATGAAGAGGAAGCACAGACCATAACCTGATTGGACAAGAAATAAAACACTTCAAGAGTAAAGCAAAAGCATAAATACAGCATTTACTTGAGTGTAAAAAGGTTAGGGTCTCACCAGTGAACATGAGCTCAGTGGTATCAGCTACAGAGAAGACCACCAGACCGGTTATGTTAGAGGCCAGACCCACAAGAGCCACCCAGGAGTCCTTCAGGCAGCGCTGCATGACCTTCAGGCCCAGCAGACTGCTCAAGTAGGCCAGATGCTGCGCTGCAGACCCGTAGCCAATCAGGGCCGAGCCCCAGCAGAGCGGGGAGCTCAGCTCGTACAGCACAAAAAGATCCCTGCTGCCAAAGTGAACTGTCACTACCAGAAAGAAGCACAGCGTGTAGAGCCACAGCTTACAGCGCCGAAGTCGCCCCCCGTCCTCGCCGCTGCTGCCACCTGTGGAGTACAGGTGCCACACGGCTTTGTGGTGGCGAGCGGTGAGGAGCTTAGCGCTTGGGTCTGGGTACACGGACTCATGGACAAACAGGAAGGCATAGAGAGCTGAGGCCACGTTGGTGGCCAGGACCAACCAGAAGGGGTTGATGTAGCTGAAGAAAGAAAAGAGACGTTACTGAAGTTTTGATGCGTCCATTTTTACAACAGAATGTATGCAAAAGTCGTTCTTTACCCTTGTGCCCGCCTCCACTGGCCTCCAATGATGCTGGCCAACATCCCTGAAAGACCCAGAGATGCCTCCAACACCGCCACCCTGAAGGTGCGGGACTTCCTATCACTGATGTCCGCCACATATGCAAAACAGCCAGCCAGGATGGCGTTAAAGTCACCTGAGAGGCCACTGAGCAGCCTGCCCACCAGGAAGTAGACCACGGGCAGCTTGAGGTACATCACCACTAGGTAGACCACCGCCTGGAGAGCCAGGCCAATGTTAGGGAGGATGAGGACGGGTCTGCGGCCCGCCATGTCGCTCCATGAACCCAGGAGGGGCACCACCATGATTCCCACCAAAAAACCCCCCAGACTGATGTACAGATTCCAGTGGGCCGTCAATGTTTCGACCTCCTAAAGACAAGAAGGTTATTGACTTGGATCAACGATCAGAACAGAAGAATAAGGTGGTTTATGTGCGATTCTGACCAATTCTAATAGTCAATTCAACTTTATAACATGTTAATATGTAATTAAGCAGTGAGATGAACGTTATTAATCAGTAAAATAACATTATAACAATACATCTGAACTCCAGATGACAGATTATCGCCTGCAGCAGGAAACATTTCCTGTATCTGTTGCTATGACAGCAGAGTTGTAGCAGAAACCAATCAGAAAAGGGACCAGTAACTACCTCAAAATCTGAAATTGTGCAAATTCAGAGCAGTTTAGAAGAAAATAATGTTTGGCACCATTAAGCTTAGCTTTGGAAGTCGTTGAAACATCCAAAACGTTCCAGGAACCAGAAGAAGACAAGATTCTTCCTAAAAAGTCTTCTTCTTGCAGACAGAATAACAAGAGTGAGATCAACGTGGACCTGACTGAATCTCCCACTACTGCAGAACAAGAAACTGGAAAAAAAAACTCAAATTTTCTGAGCTGCAGCATGAGTTTGAGACAGAAAACAGGTTTGATAGATTCTTCTGAAGAGAAGGACAATGTTCCTCTTGAAGAAGGACGATCAGGACAACAGAAAACTCCAGCCGCTTGTTTCCTGATTAATAACACTTGTAGGGTAGACCGATAATATGAGTTGCCCGACATCTGTCATTCTTTATATGTCTACATCAGCCGATATACCTCCTTAGTAAAGCCGATTTAAAGTCAGGCACATCCCCGGACAGCCTCGTGCTGCTGGAGAATTTTGTTTAAATGTATGTTTACGTTCCAGAATAACGTCTGCTAAATAAATGCTCTAAAGATAATTTCTAATGATAATGTCTTTCTAATTTACTAGTTTTGAACATTTAATACTTGGTCAGCTAACTGATATGTTTGATTAACTTCAGTGTTTTGGCCTGAAAATAAGATGGAAAACGTCTAGATATCGGCCATCGAATGACCATGACCTCTACTTATTGGTCATCCTCTAATTTATGTAATGCTACTATTCACTCACACACAGGGGTGTCGTACTGGGGGGAAAAGTGGACCTGACTACCCAGGGCCCAAGAGGGGAGAGGGGCCCATGATTCCCTCCCCCGTTTTTATTTAGAAAACATTGGGCCCCCTTTGTGTCAATTTGTTTCATTATATTGTTGTTGCCAACTAAAGATGGGAAAATAGAACCAGACGTTATGTCAGTGTTCGTTTTCCCCAAAGGACGTTTCGACTCAGTTTGGTCTTCATCAGGTCATTTGTTGCTACCCTGTTATTTCCTCTGTGTTTCCAGCATCTTTTGTGCTTTTTCTCTCTGTGTTTCTAGCATCTTCTTGAGCTTTTCCCCTCTGTCCTGCAACATGTTTAATTTCGTTAGGCACCCCCAACGCTTTTCCTCTTTCCTTGTGAACAGCTCCTCTGTCTGTGAGCTTCTGCTTGTCCCTGTGTTGGCTCCTCCTTTTATAGGCCTCATTCACCGGACTCCGGACATTCTGTTTTTTGTTGGCTTTTCTTTACATTCTAATTCGTTTTCCTCTTTTTTGGTTTTAATTTTAGTTATATTGAACTCAAAAAATAAAAACCAACAGAAATGAAGGATAGGGTGTATGAAAAATAATTTTTAGAGTCAGGGAAGGGTCAAAGGTCAGGGGAGGGGAGGACATTGGTTAGGGTTTGGGTGGGTTAGTGGGTAGGGACATATAAATTAATTTTAATTTAGGTGGTTCCGAATTGGTTTGCAACAGGGCTGCAGACACCAACAGCGAGGTGGTACTAAACCACACCGTCAGCCGGTCCACCGCAGGGGCACGGGCTAGTTAGGAACTGAATAAGAAGGAGGGCCACCGCCTTCGGCGGTGGTCTCTCCAGTGCACTGTCCATCCTGGGTCTCCGGGTTCCGACGGCTGTCCC